GAGTAGAATTAATATACTCTCATATACATATTATGTACAAACACTTAAAAGCTCTTCTTTCTAGCTTTAACAGCTGCAAACTTGGAAATCACATCTTCAAAATTTATATTTTGTGTTGACTCGTGTTCTATTGTCGGGTGTCACCTGACTGTGAAAAAAGTAAAAACTTAAACAAACCATCACAATGTTTTTCAACGATAAATCACTTAGACTTGAAGCCATTTTAACCAAGTTATCTATATTAAATAATTTAATTTTACAGAATCTCTTCTGAATCTTATGGCTGCACTAAGTTATTAAACTTAGAAGTTTGATCTAAGTTCATTTTTTTCTCTTTAAATTTTTGACTCAATTCAAAGGCTTTTTATTTTTTTATTTTTGTAAACAGTTTCCAACAAACTTTAATAAATTTTTATTTTGTGAAAATTTCTACATTATTCAAAGGTAAATTTTAATACACATTTTACACAGAATTATTATTATTATTATTATTTTGGAGGTTGCAGGATGTATTAAATTACATAATTACATTACTTAAAAATGAAAAATAATTATATCATCAATTTCAAGATTTATTTTATATCTTAAAAATAATTAATTACATCCTGGGATCCCAGGAAACAGATCACCTTTTTCTCGAAATCCCGGGACAAGCAAAGGATCAGGAAATGAGAAACCCTAGTACTGACACTATGAGTGCTAAATAGTAGAAATCAACTCAGTTTTTAACTTTTCAAATAAGAAAAATTCATAAAGTTACAAATCAAGCCACTAGGAGTCCAGAAGCTGTAATTGTGGTTTAAAACATGACAGAGAATAATTTTAATAGAAATTTATATTCAGTCCTGATCAAATCTACAATACAAATGAAACAGGATTGTTTTACTGTGCCACCCCTAATGGGTCCCTGAATTTTAAACATGAAGTACTGTCAGGTTCAAAAAAAGCAATGGATCACATTACCATATTGTGCTGCTTTAATAGGTCAGAAGTGATAAACAGAAGTTGATAGTCATTGAAAAGCATACTAAACTTTGGTGCTTTACAAGTCTTAGCAATGGACTGTTTACCAGTTAAATATTATGCCAACAAAAATGCATGGATGACTACTGCTTATCCTCATGTATAGTGTTTGAAAAACATTCATCTGGAGTTTCTTCTGGCCATTGGTACACTCAAAGGGGGCGAAAAGGCCCTGACACCCCAAAGTAAAAGGAAAAAACACTACTAAATTTTCCAGAAATCTTTTCCTAATTAAATTAATTTTTATTTATTTATTGAAGGAACATTATTGCAGCACTCTTCATCCAACATTTCCATACAGTGGGAAAAAGGGATTAATCTGACCAGAAAAATCTAACATTACTAGGACTCCAATTTAGGTGGTCCTTGGCCCAACAGTTAAGATTCTTTTGTTTTTTTCATTATGAACAGTTTCAGTATACTTTTGCAGGAAAAGAGAAACCCATGCCATGCAACTTATCATCAGTCATTTGATGTCTTATGGATGGTGTTGTAGGCTTTTGGCCAGTGGCCAGATGGCTGAGCGGTCAAGGTGGCAGCCTACTGCTCTGGGGGACCCGGGTTTGAATCCGAACAGGTCAAAAAATCCCTAGGAATTTTTCGGGGGTGGTCCGTTCGATATGTTGGGCCCCGTCCCTCACCACCCAGCAGCCCCATTGTGGGCCTGGCCGAACCCATAATGGGCTTGCAAAATGAGGTCCTCTTAGTGCCCACAGAGTAGAAAGAGTAGAAAGAAAAGAAAAAAAAAGTAGGCTTTTGGCCTCCTGCTACAGTGCTGGAGCTTTCATCATTATATCTGTACATAGGACTAGTCAGCACAGAAGTCTATCCTCTCTTGCAGCTGTACACTTTGGATGACTGGAGCTCTTGCCAGGTAACAAGCTCTGCATCTGATCATATCTTTCAATGAAGGTCTGTATAGTTGACAATGGAATTTTGAGGTCTGGATATTTTCCTTAATGAATTTCAGTCTTCCTTTTGGAAATGATCTCTCACTCAGTGATATCAGTATGGGAGAATAAAGGCTGACAGATGTGAACATCCACAGTTGCTTGCTAACAAGTGACTAGTAAAACATCTCCAGTGTAATGTATTGGCATATGCAATGCTGCTGCAATATACAAGCTCTTGTTAATTTGGTACATTTGTGTTTATGCTGTATTTGCTGTTTGTATTTCTGGATGAGCTATCCAACTATGTATTATGGAATCACCTATGATCTTGTCTTGCTACCGGGACATTCCAATTTTCAATGTGAGTGTTGAGTGTTGAAGTCAACAATTTGACATTCCAACTTGAGTACAAAGTGCTTAATTCCCATAATTCCATTCTCAGCATGATGGATTCCATTCAAATGTCTTACCAATTACCCACAATTCATTGGAAAGAAGCAGTCAACATATCTGTTGAGTGCTGAGTGTGTTGAGTCAGCGCTGACAACAGCGCTACCTCAACGTTGAAAAAAGGAACAAATTTTAATGAACGTTGAGATCAGTGCTGAGTCAGCATTGAAAATTGGAATGTCCCGTACTATGCGTAGATAATAAATAAAATGTATTTTTGCATTCTCTTGTCATATTTTTTCTAAGTGATTCCTGAGATTCAATAAAACTACCCTGGAAACATTACTGCCATGGAAAAAGTATATGAATTAAAGAACTGAAGAAGAATATGAGATAGCTGCTGTATATTTGTGTTTGATACAAGAAGCAAACAAAACTTTTTATATCTATATGAAAAGAACTTTAGTTTTTATTGATAATTGCTTAAGTTCATAAACAACTTTTTGAGGAAAAAAATACATAGTAATTTTAAAGTATTCAGTGCATCTTATTGGTTTGATTATTATTAAAAATAATTCATTTATTAAACGAGAAATTGTATATACATAGGTGGGATTTTTTTATCAACCTCTGATAGTCCATAAAAAGAAGACAAGTGTAAATAACAAAATAAATTTATTACCCAAAGTTAGGTACAAACATGGTTACTTTTTGACATAATCACCATGAAGATTGAGGCATTTTTCATATCTGTGGACGAACTTTTCCATCCCCTCTTCATAGAACATTGCCGCCAATGACTTGAGATGGGCCCTAATGTTGTTTTGAAGATTGTCATTAATCTTGAACCTCTGCCCTCCTACCCAAGTTTTCAGTTCATGAAAGAGGTAGAAATCACTTGGTGCTAAATCAAGACTGGGTGTTTAATTTGTGTTTGTGGCAAAGACTGACAGAAAATGGTTTGGGACACACAGCTGCAGCAATGGAGCAGTGCATGTTCACAGGTTGTCCAAATGAGCAAACATTTTGTTTGTTGCATGCTACGTGAATGCAATTTTTTCTATGATAAATAAAGTGTGCACATCTGATAAATCACAACTAAGTGTTGAGACTTTGAAAGCCATATTATGTGTGAAATATAATATAACAAATTCTTGCAAAAAATTTCATGATATTTTAAATAATGACAGCAATCTATTAAAAAGAATTCACTCAACTGAGAAATATGCAAAAGAATAATAAAGAGTTTTTAAAGATTTATAATAGTATATATAGTCTATTTATTATATTTGTAAATTTTGCATATGTTGAAATTTAAAAAAATATAATACAACTTTTGCATTCTTTAATGATAAAATTTTGTTGCTCTAGAACAGGGATGTCCAACCTGTTGCTCACTTAATATTTTTATGTGGTCCACTGCATCCTAAATTTTTTATGTACATTTTCATTTATTTTGGTTAAGTATGTTGTAAAAATTATTCTCGTTTCACTGAATACACTTTGATGTCATAATGACGTAATTGGTGCTAGAAAATTGTTTTATTTAGAGAACTGTTATGCATATGGGTACTACATATTGTTATGAACAATTCTTTTCGTGCACAAAAAACATCAAAACTGCTAAAAGAAATAGTTAAATAGGAAACACTCAACCTAACATTCTTAGAATTAAGACTAATACCATAAATGTAGATATTGACAATATAATAAAAGGAAAGCAATGTCAAAAATTGCATTGAATTTATTTTTATTTTGTGTGAGTATAATTTTTTTTACTGTCAATAATACAGTATTTTTTGTAATTATATATTTTTGTTCTTAAAATTTTATATTAATATTTTGAACTTTTAAAAAGCANGGAATGTGAAGGCCAAGTAATGTGGTTTGGGCGAACTCGTGCATACACGTAGTGTTGAACATTACATTAACATGCGATTAGTCATCGTTTCTTTGCTTACTAGATATCTCGTAGCAAAGTAGAACTGACAATGAGTTATCTTGAACTACACTTAAGTAAATTTCCAAAAAAAATGACTAAAGACCCTAAACTTTGCGACACCCCAATCGTGGCGCCTTGGCACCCCGGTTGAAAACACTGGGCTATCCCATTGCTACCGTCTTCGACGTTGGGCGTTACTCAATCTCTCAATCTCATTTAAAAGTAGATTTGAATTATATGCAAATCACCGAAATAGTTTTGGCTTTCTATATATGAATGAGATTGCGAATTTAGATGACGAATATTTGTTAAACTGTTGTCAAGATCTTCACTTACGAAGGAGATATCAACGGAACTGAAATGTTTGAAGAGATTAAGATGTTCCGATCGATAACGCAAGCCAATTATTCTGCTCTGGATGCGATAAAGTACATTATAAAAAAACAATCTTTCGGAAGCATACCCAAATTTATTAATTGCGTTACAAATATTGTTAACTACGCCAGTTACCGTGGCTTCAGCTGAACGTAGTTTCTCGCGGTTGAAACTAATAAAAAATATCTTCGATTATCAATAAGCCAAAACCTATTTACATCTCTGTCTATTCTTTCAATAGAAGGCGAAGTAGCAAACACAATCTATTTTGATGACGTAATCAAAGATTTCGCGGCGAAAAAAGTGAGAACAATTATGTAATATTCATCTTAAAACATCCTTTGTATTTATAATAAATAATTCCTTATTGTGAAATTTAAGTATAGGATATTCTGGTAATTTATTCTGAACCCGCAAAATTTTTGAACCGGGCCCCGCGAAAGGTTACGCCTGCCCTGAGTATGATTGATGAAATTTTGATTCGCCTTTTTTTGCATTTCTCGACATTTTGACTCTTGTGAGCCCAAAATCTAAAAAAAAAAAAAAATCTCTTGATATCTTCAGAAGGGTAAGACTTAATTAATTGTTATTGGCGTTTATAATTTTTTTAACTCTATCTCCAAACCTACGAGGTTTCGCATTTTATAACTAGAACTTCGTCCCTGAATGAAACGCAGTGAGAACTTACAAACTCACTTTAGATCGCTACATTAAAGCGAATTGTCGCTCTGCATAAGCAGTGAATTCTTATCTTTATTCTAAAGCTTCCTTAATTTAACTTACATAATAAACGTTGTAAAAAGTATAATAATAATACGTTAATGTATGTAGGTTAGTTAAGGTAGGGGAGAATAGAGTAAAATGGAAAGCTTGCTAGCTTCTCTTGCTGCGCTTCAACAAATTTCTTTGTATGAACCTTGATTTTCATGATACCGCCACTTTTTGGGTCTACAAACCGCCATTACTGTTAATGAATTTACATTTTAGATGGTAACCAAGTTATGTCTTACAAAGTCGAAAATCAACATTGTCTTTTCTTTTAATTAATAATTTTGAAATAATTTCAACTGGAGTGATTTTAATTTCTCGACGAATATTTAACAAAACGAGACCATTTAATCGATTTTTATCCGTGGTATTTCAATAATTTATTTTCAATATTATCTTTTTTCAATAATTTATTAATAAATATAAACTTTTTTTGTGTTTCTTGGGCGCGTGTGTCCATGGCTCTTCGCCTGGATGCATCGGATCTTTTAGAAGGAAATACGTTTTTTCTCTATATCCTGGGATAAATGATTCGAAAATGTTATTGTTTATATTAAACATAAAGAAAATTACTTTCTGAAGCTACATTTAGTAAATTACATATTTATTTTGAACTTATACGTGTATTTTTGTAATCACGAATTTAATCTTGCAAAGTTGGAGAATTCTTCCACATCTAATGAGAAATTATTTTATATTTTCATAGAATAATCGGAGAATTTAATAATCATTAACTATTAGCTGTTAATAAAGTATGAACGAGTGAATTAACTATGTTAATTTGAAATAATCTTAATTTAATGCACAAAATCAATTTTCATTCGGATGACGAACTAGGAGCGATCACAATATAACGCGTTTTATAGGTTATTTTTATACAATTAACGTCTTGTTGATGAAAATGCAGTATTAATTGTTTTAATACTTTGAGATTTATTTTTGTAAATATAAAAAAAATTGATAGAACACTTCCAAAATATCATTAAATTAATTTTATTTCATTTCTATTACTTGGCAACGTTGAAGAATATAGGAATGGATCGTCTGCATTAAAAAAAATGTCTCTCGTTAGATGTCGCTTTACGAATAATGGCTCGTTTGTTTATGTTTAGGAATGCATAGGTCTGTATTGTATTTAATCGAATTATTAAATCGTTTTTTATGGATTTTAACATTAAACCAAGTAAAAGAATTCAGATTATTACACTGGGGAATTCAGAAGTTGGAAAGGTAATTATTAAACGTTTTTATTTAATATATTTTTTTTTATCATAAAACTTCTTGTTTTAGTGCAAAAATATATATAAGAATAATTACAATTATATTTTAAAATATTGTTTACACATCTAAATTTATCTTTTAAGCATTACCCAGTTATTAAGATGATATTTAAAGTTTTACATATTTCTAATCATGCCCAGCAGCTTCAATAACTGCATTATGCCAGATTGTGCAAATTGGGAAAGGATACAAACGAGTATGAAGTTTTTCTTCGTAAATCTGATTATTAAAGACAAACCAACTGCCGAATTATCGAGCTGTAAGCTTGATGCTGCTATTAAAGCGGCCGAGGTAGACAAATCAGGAATACTAGATGGCAAAAGAAGTACTGCAACACATCTCGATAATGGACTAGAAATCTTTGAGGTTACAGGTGAAAAATCACACAGCATCCATCTTCTCTTAAATGCATTAAAGATGATTCCATCCACATCAATTGAATCGGAAGGGCATTCTCGGTAGCAGGACTTACCACCAGCGGCATAGCTAGCATGGGTGTCACCATAAGAATAAAAACTGTTAAAATTAATAAAAATCCGATAAACGTAAAGTATGATTTTATTTAATTAATACAAATAAGAGTCATTAATTAGCAAGTTACAATATTATGATAATAATAGTACAGTTTTATTAAACATTCTTTTGCATTGATGTATGAAAGTGAAAGTTGGGTATGGCAAAAAAAGAATGAGTAGAATTAATATACTCTCATATACATATTATGTACAAACACTTAAAAGCTCTTCTTTCTAGCTTTAACAGCTGCAAACTTGGAAATCACATCTTCAAAATTTATATTTTGTGTTGACTCGTGTTCTATTGTCGGGTGTCACCTGACTGTGAAAAAAGTAAAAACTTAAACAAACCATCACAATGTTTTTCAACGATAAATCACTTAGGCTTGAAGCCATTTTAACCAAGTTATCTATATTAAATAATTTAATTTTACAGAATCTCTTCTGAATCTTATGGCTGCACTAAGTTATTAAACTTAGAAGTTTGATCTAAGTTCATTTTTTTCTCTTTAAATTTTTGACTCAATTCAAAGGCTTTTTATTTTTTTATTTTTGTAAACAGTTTCCAACAAACTTTAATAAATTTTTATTTTGTGAAAATTTCTACATTATTCAAAGGTAAATTTTAATACACATTTTACACAGAATTATTATTATTATTATTATTTTGGAGGTTGCAGGATGTATTAAATTACATAATTACATTACTTAAAAATGAAAAATAATTATATCATCAATTTCAAGATTTATTTTATATCTTAAAAATAATTAATTACATCCTGGGATCCCAGGAAACAGATCACCTTTTTCTCGAAATCCCGGGACAAGCAAAGGATCAGGAAATGAGAAACCCTAGTACTGACACTATGAGTGCTAAATAGTAGAAATCAACTCAGTTTTTAACTTTTCAAATAAGAAAAATTCATAAAGTTACAAATCAAGCCACTAGGAGTCCAGAAGCTGTAATTGTGGTTTAAAACATGACAGAGAATAATTTTAATAGAAATTTATATTCAGTCCTGATCAAATCTACAATACAAATGAAACAGGATTGTTTTACTGTGCCACCCCTAATGGGTCCCTGAATTTTAAACATGAAGTACTGTCAGGTTCAAAAAAAGCAATGGATCACATTACCATATTTTGCTGCTTTAATAGGTCAGAAGTGATAAACAGAAGTTGATAGTCATTGAAAAGCATACTAAACTTTGGTGCTTTACAAGTCTTAGCAATGGACTGTTTACCAGTTAAATATTATGCCAACAAAAATGCATGGATGACTACTGCTTATCCTCATGTATAGTGTTTGAAAAACATTCATCTGGAGTTTCTTCTGGCCATTGGTACACTCAAAGGGGGCAAAAAGGCCCTGACACCCCAAAGTAAAAGGAAAAAACACTACTAAATTTTCCAGAAATCTTTTCCTAATTAAATTAATTTTTATTTATTTATTGAAGGAACATTATTGCAGCACTCTTCATCCAACATTTCCATACAGTGGGAAAAAGGGATTAATCTGACCAGAAAAATCTAACATTACTAGGACTCCAATTCAGGTGGTCCTTGGCCCAACAGTTAAGATTCTTTTGTTTTTTTCATTATGAACAGTTTCAGTATACTTTTGCAGGAAAAGAGAAACCCATGCCATGCAACTTATCATCAGTCATTTGATGTCTTATGGATGGTGTTGTAGGCTTTTGGCCAGTGGCCAGATGGCTGAGCGGTCAAGGTGGCAGCCTACTGCTCTGGGGGACCCGGGTTTGAATCCGAACAGGTCAAAAAATCCCTAGGAATTTTTCGGGGGTGGTCCGTTCGATATGTTGGGCCCCGTCCCTCACCACCCAGCAGCCCCATTGTGGGCCTGGCCGAACCCATAATGGGCTTGCAAAATGAGGTCCTCTTAGTGCCCACAGAGTAGAAAGAGTAGAAAGAAAAGAAAAAAAAAGTAGGCTTTTGGCCTCCTGCTACAGTGCTGGAGCTTTCATCATTATATCTGTACATAGGACTAGTCAGCACAGAAGTCTATCCTCTCTTGCAGCTGTACACTTTGGATGACTGGAGCTCTTGCCAGGTAACAAGCTCTGCATCTGATCATATCTTTCAATGAAGGTCTGTATAGTTGACAATGGAATTTTGAGGTCTGGATATTTTCCTTAATGAATTTCAGTCTTCCTTTTGGAAATGATCTCTCACTCAGTGATATCAGTATGGGAGAATAAAGGCTGACAGATGTGAACATCCACAGTTGCTTGCTAACAAGTGACTAGTAAAACATCTCCAGTGTAATGTATTGGCATATGCAATGCTGCTGCAATATACAAGCTCTTGTTAATTTGGTACATTTGTGTTTATGCTGTATTTGCTGTTTGTATTTCTGGATGAGCTATCCAACTATGTATTATGGAATCACCTATGATCTTGTCTTGCTACCGGGACATTCCAATTTTCAATGTGAGTGTTGAGTGTTGAAGTCAACAATTTGACATTCCAACTTGAGTACAAAGTGCTTAATTCCCATAATTCCATTCTCAGCATGATGGATTCCATTCAAATGTCTTACCAATTACCCACAATTCATTGGAAAGAAGCAGTCAACATATCTGTTGAGTGCTGAGTGTGTTGAGTCAGCGCTGACAACAGCGCTACCTCAACGTTGAAAAAAGGAACAAATTTTAATGAACGTTGAGATCAGTGCTGAGTCAGCATTGAAAATTGGAATGTCCCGTACTATGCGTAGATAATAAATAAAATGTATTTTTGCATTCTCTTGTCATATTTTTTCTAAGTGATTCCTGAGATTCAATAAAACTACCCTGGAAACATTACTGCCATGGAAAAAGTATATGAATTAAAGAACTGAAGAAGAATATGAGATAGCTGCTGTATATTTGTGTTTGATACAAGAAGCAAACAAAACTTTTTATATCTATATGAAAAGAACTTTAGTTTTTATTGATAATTGCTTAAGTTCATAAACAACTTTTTGAGGAAAAAAATACATAGTAATTTTAAAGTATTCAGTGCATCTTATTGGTTTGATTATTATTAAAAATAATTCATTTATTAAACGAGAAATTGTATATACATAGGTGGGATTTTTTTATCAACCTCTGATAGTCCATAAAAAGAAGACAAGTGTAAATAACAAAATAAATTTATTACCCAAAGTTAGGTACAAACATGGTTACTTTTTGACATAATCACCATGAAGATTGAGGCATTTTTCATATCTGTGGACGAACTTTTCCATCCCCTCTTCATAGAACATTGCCGCCAATGACTTGAGATGGGCCCTAATGTTGTTTTGAAGATTGTCATTAATCTTGAACCTCTGCCCTCCTACCCAAGTTTTCAGTTCATGAAAGAGGTAGAAATCACTTGGTGCTAAATCAAGACTGGGTGTTTAATTTGTGTTTGTGGCAAAGACTGACAGAAAATGGTTTGGGACACACAGCTGCAGCAATGGAGCAGTGCATGTTCACAGGTTGTCCAAATGAGCAAACATTTTGTTTGTTGCATGCTACGTGAATGCAATTTTTTCTATGATAAATAAAGTGTGCACATCTGATAAATCACAACTAAGTGTTGAGACTTTGAAAGCCATATTATGTGTGAAATATAATATAACAAATTCTTGCAAAAAATTTCATGATATTTTAAATAATGACAGCAATCTATTAAAAAGAATTCACTCAACTGAGAAATATGCAAATTAANTTGTCTTTGAAAAACATATCATAAAAAAGATACAACAGTTAATAAAATTTAAACATTTAAAATATTATCCCAATTTAAAATCTTGTTTAACCAAAATAGTTTTTCTAAATCTTCCAACAAAGTAAACGCATCTTGTTTTGAGTTGTGTCTAACCCACCCGATAGAGCAAAATCAATTAATTTCGTGATGCGAAGTATCGATCCCTCACACATAATACTGACCGGTCTCGTTATCCAAAATAGAATGGTTTGAAGCATTCTGTATTTTACAGTAACCAGAATTTTATATAAAGGAGAAATTTATTTAAACAATACTTTGCGCTAGAGAAATGCTTTGACTTCATTTAAGTGGACATTCTGTTATTTACAAATTAATTTCTCGCTACACGTTTAATTACAATAAATACATGGCTTTAAAAGTGTATCTATAATGGGAAAAATAGCATCTTTTTTATGATAATTCACCAATTGGTGCATTTTCCAACCACAGATTGTGCATGAACTGATAAAGTTGATCGGATACCGAAACCTGCAATAAAGAGAAAATTAAGATATGGATTTCTGTTTAGGGTAAATTTTGGAATATATTTTTTCCTCACCTTGTAGGGTGTGGGATTGAGATTTCGTTTTATATCTGAACGTAGTGTTTGCAGAGATGATTTAACTCTCTGTCGTATATCTATCAATGTGGGTAACTCACAACAAACCTTTTAATTAGAAGATAAGAAGCACATGATAAACACTATTATTCTATTCATAGATATAATCAATTGCTGTAATTTGTTTACCTTTCCATTTTCCCAGTATTTCTGATACAACGATTCTACTTTTGTAGGTATTACGTATGCTCGTTTTGATTCCTAATCAGAAAAACTAAAATTAATACGAAAGAGAAGTTAATCTGCTTTACCAATTAAATTTTCATCTTGAATTGTCTTGAAGAATTATTTGGAGATGACTTACTTGAAATGGGTGACGACAGAGAACTCTCTCCCCCATCTGTGGGGCAGCTTCTTCGGTCTGTTGTAGTAAATCGATCAGGGCATAACCTGAAAATAAGGATATGTTTAATTTTGCCTCTTCACATATTTAACTACTTGTTATGATTAACAAAATTCTAATAAACTATTGTGAAAACAAAGTATCAATATTTCAGAACAAAATTATTCTTCAAAATTAGATATCTGAGATTTCTCATTTGAAAAAATTGTTGTAATTTATATAAACTAGATTTTCATTGTAGTAATATTTAAATATATATTAATAAATATAATATTTAATAAAATGTAAGTCNTCATATTTTGAACTTTTAAAAAGCATATATTTATATAAGGTGTCTTTATGGCCCACTGAATATAAGTAAATTTCAAATTTGGCCCATAAGGAAAATAAAAATTGGACAATTTCTGATCTAGAACAATTTTTTTCAACAGGACAACCACTCCTCCCCTGTAAATTTTGTCCCACTTCACCAATATTAAAATCTGTTCGCCTTAGTTGTCACTTCAGTTTGAACTATTTAATATTCTTTTCCATTATATTTTGGTACCAAGTGTTTATCAAGTATTTTGGTAAGACTGTTCATCTGAGGTTGGTAAATGTAATATGTCTGTATACTGTGTTGAAGATGCAGAAGACTCCTTGAACCATTCTACTAAATCTTCTAGTAACAAAGCATAAAGAAAGATTCAATTTTGTTAAAATCTATCTGAAGGAGGTGTTAGTGTAGACCAAAAACATTAGTAACAGATTTCTCACTTACATGAAAGTCCTACATAAGGTTGGTAAATTTTATTCCTTGGATCACTTTAGAGGCTGTTCTTTCTTGCCAAGCCAATCAACTTTCAATGATCGTTGCTTGATTATGGCATTTTTGACAAGGAAATCTACTTCAGCAACTGATCTGATGGCCATGGCTTGAGTAATAGCATAGTGGCTTAGATAAACCATGCATGGCATTTGTGATCCATTTATTATTCTAAATCTTCTGAAAGCTGATTGTACACTAGTAAATAACACCAACAAAACCTTCAAAATATACTGGCAAATATAATTTAATATAAAGACACTATGACAAATGTTTTCAGTTTGAATAGAATCTGCTTCAGGTCAAAATCTTCAATAGAATTAGAATGCAAAAGATCAAATTTAAATTTATAAAATTGCTGTAATAGTTTAAGATTAGAACAAGTATAAAAATCACAACATTAAAAATTGAAATAAAAATGAATGAATATATTTGTTATAAAATCATAAGTGAATTAATTGATTTTTTTAATTGCTTATTAATGTTGTTGGAATCATTGAAAAAGGACTGCCAAATATGTGAGATGTTCATTTCCTCCTTAAAATTGATACATTTTCCTTTAGTTTGGCTTTAAAAATTTCCAGAGCTTCTAAAATTTTGATTTGATCAGTGTGAAGGATATGTCTAATGAGACTGGCTTGCTGTAGTTTAGCTTTCACTTTTTTTGAGAAGCGTATATTGCTAGGGTGTTGGTCTGCTTTTTGTTTCGTATATCATATACTCCACCAGTCATTTTTTAAGGGACCTCTTGGTTGAACCAATGTATGGTACAATAGATCTCTGTGAAATCTGTTGTCTCTCACCAGTATATCTCACCCTGGTGTGTTGTAAGTGTTAATAGAGTCTTTGCCATTTCTTAATAACTTACAGACATAACCCATCCATATATAAGTTATTGCCCATTCCCTATTAGTGGCAATTTCTTTGTACAAAGCATTTAATTCCTAGTCATAATAAATTAATATATATTTGCTTGTAGATTCTAAAACCTGTATCGTCCCTGTTAAGATTGAAAGTGGAATTAGCAAGATATGAAGTAAGGAATTATCCAAGGAAATCAATTCAGTGTCAAATGGGCTCACAAGTCAGTAAAAATGAAATTAGTGCTAACTAATTAACAGATACTCTTGGAGGATGCTTCAACATCGACATTCATGACTTATACGGCTATAGTTCCTGATATCCTGGTTCATTTCCTTCCAGTAATGATTCAAGATACATATAGCTTGAATATCATGAAGCTATATCATTTGATGTTCAAGCTGTATATATCAAATGATATTCAAACTGTATATATCATTTGGGCTATGCTCAAATGATTAACTGTCAAGATAGATTTCAAAGATGGTACTTTGCAGAAATGTAGAACAATGAGATGCCAAGGAGACCCAATGGAGTTGTAGAAGACTGTGTGATATAGAATTCCTTTGAATTTGAAATATTGTTGTCATATTCTTGTGTCAATGTCATTCATGAGTTCTAGAATTATTGAGTCAGCAGTATGTTTCAGTTTTTTTTTCAATATTGTATGTTTCATACAATATTGATATTGCCAGTCTGTAATAGTAGTAGTTATGCTACTAATTCCCTTCATTGTTTGGGTGACATTATTGGCTGAGAGAAAGAAATTGATATCAAGGTGTTTTAACCACATTTATGTACCACAGTGATGTTATATTCTTAAAGATGTAATACGTATCAAGCTAATCATTCTAATAGATCTCAAAATAATAGATTAGTGAGCCAACACACATTAGTGAGGTTGCGGCCAAAGTTTCATCTCTAAATCATGAATGTCAAATATTGAGTGCCGCTATCTTGTAAGCGGCGTTTGACGTTCACATTTTAGAGATGAAAACTTCGGCTGCAACCTCACTATTTATTATAAAATAGTATTTAAGATATGTAATAATTTGATTTTTATTAGACTGAATTTGTTAATTAAAAATCATATTTATTTATAAAGAGATTGAACTTTTTAAAACTGATAACAAATTTTGTTTTTTAGACTTGTATTATCAAAAGACTTTGTGAAAAGAGATTTGTCAGCAAGTATATACCAACAATTGGAGTTGATTATGGAGCAAACAGGTAAATTATAATTTTCATCCAAATTAATAATTTTTTCTTTATAAGTAAATGTTAATCATCATTTTTTAAACCAAAAATAAAGTCAAAAAATAATATTTTTCTTCATGTATGAAATAAAACAATAATGCCACACAATAAAATGTAGATGAGATTACAGGAAATCCTTGTTAATTTGAACTTGGATAGTTCAAAGTTCTGTTAGTTTTTTAACTGTGTTTTTGTCTTAACCAAAGATATAGAAATTTGTGTTAAGGAATTGGTTATTTTGAAATATAGCTATTTCAAAATCTGAAGTGAAAATTCTGTACAAACTGTGATATGTGTATGTTAACTGGTTCATTTAGATCAAAATGCCTCCATGCTGTAAGAGAACAATAGACCAAGAACCAGTGGTGTGCTGTCCAGGGAATCTGTGGAAGTGCCACTTCCCTTGTATTTTCTAAAATATAAATACATATTGTGCAATTATTTTCATATTTTAGAGTACTTAATGCATTTATAATAAGATACTTAATTAAAATTAATAGTATCTTATTAAAAATTACTATACTACGAAAGGTGAAAAAAATAATAAGATTGCTATTGTATATTTGAATATAAATTTGTATATGCATATTCCCTACAGAAGTGCTGTATTGTCAAATACAGGATAGCTTCCATGGCAAAAATATTTGAATTGTGTAAAGCAGCCAGATTATAGTAAAATGCTTCCAATGATTCTATCTAGGGCTGGCACAGCTTCCCTATCATCAAATGTCACAGCATGCCATTGCCAATAACAACTCTAACCTGGTCAATATGGTTTTGCTTTTATAGTAACATACCTTTTCGAGTGTCATCTTACCAATGGACAATTTTTTATTTCATAAAATATGGCTGGTTTTTGGGATTGCAAGATTGGGCTAAAAGTAGCAGATTGAAATATTTGTAGGACTAGGTTACTACATTTGGGTGACTACTGCTTTTTTGGTCACTTTTAAAATATTTTGGGCTACATTTTGAGGAATTCTACTTTACTTTTTATAAACCTATCTGGCAATCTATGAGGTTCTCACTGAACATTGCTGTTTTCTTTCATTAATAATTAATAACAACAATATCAATGTGAAGGTAAACAGCACTTCTGTTTGCTTAATAAATTACATCAGTTATGTGGCATTTGGCATATTGTACAGATATATGTAAATCTTGGATATTTGAAGTCATAATTATTTTGTCTCTTGAATTTAAAACTAATGAGGATTTCCTGTATGTACAATTTAAAAGGAAATAGAATACTTTAAATATAGCATCACTATCTCACCATTTTTCTTATGTTAACTGAAACCATCCTTCACAAGCAGAAAATTAATTTGTATCATAGCAATGTTATGTAATGTGAAGTTTCCAGAGGATTGTAGAGCCATGAAAGATAAATTAATGACTATATTTCAGAAAATATGGTACAAAATAATATTTCATTTCAATCAATAAAATATAATTTTGTACCACATTTTCACGGAATGACCTGTATGCTGGTTTAAGAGCACTTATAGATTCCTCTCTAGAGGGCGCATTAAAAAAAGAAACATGTTTTTATTCTAAAACTGTGAAACTGTCAGCATTACATCAAAAACTACAATTATATGATTAATTTCTTCATTTTGTCTTCTTTCTAACAACATAAAATACTCTTAGAATTCTGAAAGAGCTTTTTTTAATGTGTATTTTATTGTTATTTGATTTAAAAACACAAACATATTAAATTTAAGAAATTTGTTGTAAATTAGCTCAGTTTACACATATTGACATCCACTTTGTGTGAAATTTGAGAGGAAGATGTTATTTTTAAGGTCAGGGTAGATGTAGTTGGTCAATGTAGCCTACACTGACTAACTACTACTACTATTAATGTCAATAAGTTGTTAATTCTTTTATGGTTTTAAAATCAGGAAGAGTGTTTTTGTTTACAAGTCAGTCAAATTACAATGTTATTATTTTATTGTACTGGAAAGAATGTTTTCTTTAACATTTAATTAACAACTAGTTTTGTTAGATTCGATTAATTTTATATTTTAGTTGCTGTTTAACTGGCATGCCAGTAACCCTGGGGTTTCTGGCATGCTGGCTATTCTGCAAAAATACAGTAATACTTAATTGTTGTAATTTTATTAATTATTCTTTCATTTATTATATAAATTCTCAAGTACACTGATTATAGTAACTTTGGTATGAGATATAATTTCTTTTACAAAATAAAAAAACTGGAATACAAAGTAAACAGGAAAACCTAAATGAACCAAAGCCATTGGTTAAAAGGTGTGGTTATCTGTGAATTAAAGGTGGTTATTTGTGAACTGAAATCAAACACTTTTCCAGCAGTTTTCTCTTTCAACAAATTGTTTTGGCTCACTTGATAAGCCTGTCTCAGGTCTGTCAAGAATTCCAAACTTCAATGTTCCAAATTGGAATGTTAAGAGGTTTGATGATGTATACTGTGTAATATAATTTTTTTTAATTTTAAAAAGATTAGAACCTCCATACTTTTTATGGCCATGTATTCTCTAACTTTCAGAATCACAAAATGACTTCCTTATTGTGAAATAATATATAATAAGCCTGAGGCAAGCTTATCAAATGACCTAATACATTTGTTTAAAGGTATGATTAATTAAGCAGGAAAGCATTTAGATTCAAATTACTTTAACTCCTTGAGAAAAAAGATAATTATGTATTAATCAAAAACTTTTGCTTCACAAATACTAAGTGATTTCAGCAATATTCTTTTTTATAAAAATATGGAACAAGAGGTAGAGCAAGTTGTTCCTAAAATGTATACTTGTAATATTATATGTCATTTGTTTAATGTATACTTGTAATATTATATGTCATTTTAAAGTAATAGCATAACAAAAATCACATTTCAATTAAAAATATTTGAGGAAAAGCAAAAAAAGAAAAGATTAGTTTCCAAATAGCAATCTTTGGCAGATATATTGCTTAAATAAAATCTATTTAATTGTTACAGTAGAACCTCGAAAACTCGGCCTAATGTGGACCGAAGGTTGGCCGAGTTTGTGAAAATGCCGAGTTATCGGGAATGGGGTTAAAAAAATAAGTATGAGTGTTTCCTCAGAAAATACTGTACTGTACTTGTACGTATTGTTTACTTGAGAATATAACAGAGAATAAACTGCCCAAATACCCTTAAACAAAAGAAAAGTACGTCCTTTATGAAGGCATACAGCCTTTACTACATGAAAATGAAAATTAATGAATACACTGTGTACAGTAATTTACCTGATAAGACAGACCTCAGAAAAATACTTTATGAGAGCTTTTATACTTTTATAAAGCTGTCTATAATGAAAATTAATTAACTAAGGATTTTTTTTGCCCTGCCAGGGTGTGGCCGAGTTATCCGGAGTGCCGGGTTATCGAGAGCCGAGTTTTCGAGGTTCTACTGTATAATATTTGGGATTTCAGATATTTATATTATGTTATGATGAAATAATATAACTATTTTTTTGAGTGAAGTTCAATACAGAAAGAAGTTTTTGATTCTGGATGGGATTCAAATTCTTTATACTTCAACAATATATACTAAAAGCTATATTAAGAAACTACTTTTCAGAGTACAACTTTATATAAAACTGAAAAGTTATATTGAGATTGATTAAGAATTGAGCATATGCTAAAGGTTCCAGTAAAATTACTGATATATTCATGTTGCTTGCTACATCTTGTCTCCATTTTTTTCTTATTAAAATTTTGTTTTGATTCTGAGTAAATGTTCATTTTTCTCTAGATGTAAAATTCAAAGAAAGAAATTAACATGTTAATTTACAAATATAAATCTTATTTATTTATTTATTAGCAAAATCAATATTCAGTTGATTAATGAATATAAAATAAAAAATTTTCTCCAATCGGTATTTAAAACAATAGCATAATCAGGAAAAGGTCCAGGGGCCCAGCCCACTTACTTCTATAAATAAATACATTAAGAAACAAATCAAATAATTATAAGAAAAAGATTTGAATATAATAAATAAAATCTAAGGATAGAGATTTTTCCAGCATTACATGATTGTACACATGTAGTGCATGTTTATTCCAGTACTAAAATAACTGATACATAAATATATATCCAGGGACAAAAGATTAAATTTTATTTACCTTCAAATTAAGAAAAACAATCCCAGTTTTTAAAATCGTTCTAGAAATTATGTATAATGTAGTAAAATTATTGTAAAATTAAATTCATTTATATGAAATATTTTTGTAAAGTTTAGAATAAATACATTACACAATTCTAATTTTGAATCATTTTTTTTTTAGATTATTTAGCAGTAACAATGAAGCTGTTCAATTAAATATATTTGACTTAGCAGGAAATCCAATTTTTTATGAGGTATTATTTTAACTGAATTGATTAGCAAAATCACCACTCATCATATGGAACCATCACATTCCCAAAATTATTTTAATGATTTTTTTAATAATTGGCTAACATTTATAAATATTAATTTCAGATTAGGAATGAATTTTATAACAACATTCATGGAGTGTTACTAGTTTATGATATAAGTAATCAAAAAAGTTTTGAATCTCTTAATTTTTGGTTGTCAGAATTATTACAAATATTAGATTGTGAAAGAGAAAATGTTGCCTGTATTGTGTGTGGAAATAAGGTATGTCCTTTAGAGATTTACTGATACTAAAAGAATACTGTATATACACATATATGTGGAAAATTTATTTATAGTGTGATAAGAAAAGAGAAATTAATGAGCATGAAGGACAACTTTGGGCTGAATATCATGGTTTTCCATACTTTGAAACATCAGCTCTAACTGGAGAAGGTATTCCTGAGATGTTTCAAGTATGTTTCAGAATTATTTATCTTAATTCTTCAAGAATATTTTAATGAACTTTTGACTATTTTATTTACAGTTTTTTATTGATAATATGCTGCATATTTTAAAAGAAGGTAAACCATTGGTATATGGATCAAGATTAGGATATAGCAGAGAACAGTTGGAAGCAATACATAGACTACAGTGGTCAAAAAATAATTATGAAAGATTAGGTCTTATTCAAGGTGCTTCTAAGTAAGTAAATAAATAGATACAAATTAAATCACTTTTAATGTTTTTGTTAATTCTTCCTATTTGTATCATAAACTACTGTTTCAAAGTTAATAAAGGTATTAAATGAAATATTCTAAAATGTATTATAGCTCTGAATGAAGATTAGAATTTAATTATTGAATCAAATAATTTGTAAGTTATAATGAATGCGTAGACTTATGGGAATAATCTTAGAAAAATTGTGTTAAAAATGAAATAATGTATCATATCAATTATTACCACCTACCTAGTATCTAAAATATCACATCTAACAGCAAACACAGAAGTCATGAGGGTCTGGTAGATTTAAAAGGATCTATGGAAAAACATCAGAACCAGAAAGATTAATCTATCTCATAATTCCTGCATGTAGTTATTGTTTCAGTTGTCTTAATTTCTGGTCCAAATTATTTCATAGATATTCAATAAATCAGGAGAGTTGGAGCCATGATATTGACTTTCAAGTGTTATCTTGTTCACCACATTATCCTGGGGAAAATGCCATAGTTCAAAGATATAGCTTATCAGATGTTACCATTTATGGCTACTAATGTTAAGCTAACTGATAGCATTCAGAGAACCTATAAGAACCAAGGGTCTCATTGTAAGCCAGTGCAAGATCTGTATCTGGGGACATCCCAATACTGCTAATACTGATACCATATTGATACTTTCCTTTGATACCAAGTACTTTTTTACTCAATACTTTGGTCCTATACTGATACCAGTGCTTTCCCTGGATATTGGATCTGGTATTGTTATATTTTTCACAGACAGGTAAGGTCTGATAAAACAGGATTTTGCAGCCAGATCAGAAACTAAAATGGAATTTTATACTACATTCAAATTAAGTTAAACTATATAAAACATAATAATAACCAAAAATCAATAAATGTATTACATCAAATTTTATTTCCAGAATCTACATATGCTTAGAGTTCTGATTACTATTAATAAATATTTAGTTAAACATTATGCAATACTTTTGTTTGTTAATCAACTTGGAGCACCAGTGATGTTTCAAATAAGCTACAATTTATATACACTTGCTCACACTAATAATTGTAAAATTTGAACTGAATAAAAAACTTTTAATGCAAAGACATTGTTGTACCTTTTCACCAACAATTTCTTATCCACTCCTACCCATGTATAGTAGTACCTGTAGCACCCATTACCAAGACTGTAGATCTGAGGCTTTTTTATGTACATAAGACATTATATGAGTAAACTGAAGTATTCCCATTCTGAACTAGACAGCCAGGATTCAATTTCCTAGACTAAACAACAAAATATTAATTGCTGGTCTTGGACTCACTCAGCCTTTGTTGTACTTAGAATACCTATCCCTACTTTTATGTGATCAATTTTTTTACACAGGAAAAAAGTTTATTTAAAAATTTTTCAATTTAAATTTTCATTAAAACTGCATTATTGTTAAAAAAAGTTACTATTTTGGTGAAATCAAGAGTTAAGTTTCTTTTTTAAGTACAGTACAATGCTATATGTACTGTACTGTACTGTACATCACAGAATGCCATGTGTCAATTTTGTTTACTGTATTTATGTACAAATAATGTTAATGATAAATTATGTAAATTGCTTATTTTTTCTTCCATTGAAGTTGTGGATCCTATTAAGCATTTTTCTATGGGATGATATAATGTGCATTTTTACGTGATTTTTTACATCTATCATGGTGGCTTTGCCTTCAAGTTATTTTTACTGCTGAGAAGGTACTATACTCATTATGGTGAAGACTGAGTGGGCCCTAGAGCAGCAGTTAATATTTTGTAGCTTAGCCAGGATTCAATTTCCTGGAGTATCCGGTTCATAAGTCGTGTCAATCAGTACTTCAGTTTACACTCATATGATGTCTAAGTACAAAAAAGGAACCCCAGATCTACAGTCTTGCTAATGAGCTCTGTGGATACTACTATACTCACACAGCCCATTAATTGGATATGGGAGTATTAGCAGCTATTTTAAAGCTAAAAACATTAAACATTTGTAACAAACAGCAATGAACCACTAAAAAAAAGACCAAAAACTGAAAAGCCCACAAAAGTGTGATCTCTCTCTTCCAAGACCAACTGCCAACTGATCCAAGTTGATGAACAAAAGTATTGTATAATGTTTACTATTTATAAATATTTAGTTAATCAGTACTCTAAGCATATATAGATTCTGGAAATGAAATTTGACACAATACATTTATTGATTTTTGGTCATTAATATAAAAAACTGATGAAGACTATTAAATATAGTCGAAAACGTTTTTAATTTATTAAATACGTTGCTGGAAATAGTAAGGTGGTTTGATTATTTTAGGTCATTAATATTTTTTATGTAAGTTTAACTTAACTGAAAATAGTGTAAAATTCCATTTTGGTTTCTGATTGGGCTGAAAAATCTAGTTTCAGTCAGACTTTACCTATCTGTGAAAAATGTAACAATATCAGATCCAATACCCAAAGTAAAGTATTGATACTTTTAAAGGTATCAGACCAACAATATAGAAGAAATTATCAATATGGTGTCAGTATCAGCATGTCACTAGTTGTAACATTAGTAGCTTAAATTCTCAAGCAGGTAACTATCACACCATTGACAACAAAATGTAGGAAATGTATTTTGTCATTGATAACATTGCAATTAATGTAATTATAAATACTGCTGACAGTTCCTTCCAATAATGAATCCCTCTAAATCAGAAATGGACTCTGGTCTTTTAAATACTGCCTTCTGGAAAAGGAGAATGTATGAATTAAATACTTTGATATATACTAATACACATGAAGTGTCAATACAGTAGAGCCTCGATTATCCGACCCCCGATTAACCGACACCTCGGTTAACCGACTGTCCTAGTCGGCAAATTTCAAATGTCCGCTAGTGATGTGGCGCTACAATATTTGGCTATGTCTTCGCTACTTTAATATTATTTTTACGTGTTTTAGCTGGAAACACTGGATAGACCATGAAAAGGAGTCAGTATTTAAACGAGGCTTAATTTTCAACGATACAATAGTGACGATTATTATTTTAAAAAATTTTTGTTAGGCTTAACATCGATGAAAATTCAACGCAAAGTAGGTTAATAGCGATATACTAATATATTAATATACTAATTACATGGGATATAATAATATACTACACTAATGGATTTTTTCATACTTTTCGGTTATCTGACTTTTCAATTATCCGACCAACCCCAGTCCCCAATTGAGTCGGATAATTGATGCTCTACTGTATATTACAAAAACTCTGTTGCTGTGGTACAAATGGCGTAGCTCACCATAAGATGAGAAATGGAAGGATAAGGAATAATTTTGTTTAGTTTATTAACTTCTTGCAGACTGTATAGTCTATTCACCCTTAAAATAAAATAAATTACAAATTAAACTAGTGACATGCTGATACTAACTTTAGAATGTATAATAACTACACTTAAGTGTTGTGGTGTTATCAATATCAACTTTTAGCATATGAGGATGTTTGCTAGTACTTTCAGTAGCATAAAGTTACCGTCATCAGATGAATATCGAATACAACAGGTATCAAATTTTAAGTTTTAGAATAATATTTGAAATTAAATATAGCATGTGGATGGAATATAAAATGAATTTGAATTAAAACGATGTTCTAAAAATATAAACATATGCTAAAAGTTGATATTGGTAATGCCACAACACTTAAGTGTAGTTATTATCTATTCACCCTTATAAGATCTATGAGTAAGAAATGAGTCACAGTAGTAAATGAGAAATTGTGAAGTACAAAAACATTAATGAGCCAATAGAGATTGATCTTAAGTTAGGATTTCTTTTAATATGTCATATCATTGACAGTAATAAGTTAATATTCCTTAACAGAGATTCCTAACAAATTTTTGTTAAATATACATGCAAAATGTGTGTGTCAAAAATACTGTATCATTGATAAATTTTACAGTATTTATCAATGATAATTAGTAATGTTGAAATTGAATTTATTTACTATAACATTTTTCTCACAGTTGATGAAATTTATATTATGTATAATATATATTCTAATTTATAGTGTAAATCAGACACCCAACACAATGCCACAAATCAACAGTATTCATTAACCATAATAATCACATCTATAATCCAAGTTTCAACATACTAATCAAATATTTTGATAAGATTTCAAATCCAAAAAGCTCTAAAAATTTTGTATAGTATCCTTGGCAATAAATCAAAGCACCTTTTTAATACTTTTTATTTGGAAAAACTTGTCCATAGAAATATGAGTAATATTGGTATAAGCTTTTTCATTAGGATATACTCATAATATTTCTATGGACAAAAATTTACCCTAGTGCAAAAATTTAATTAATTTCTTTGTATAAATGTTAAATTCAGTTTTTTTCAATAAATATTTACATTATATAACTATAATCTTCTTTTAGAGAAGAAATAAATCGTGCTTATAGAAGAATTGCAATTTTGATTCATCCCGACAAAACAACTATACCTGCCAGCGAAGAAGCCTTCAAGACGCTGGTAACGACCCGTTCCTTGCTGTTACGGCAAGCAAAGTGACCACAATTCTAATTTAACAAAACAATTCTGCTTTTAGATTATATAGTAAAATACATTTTTGTAAGGATATTTATGATATGCAAATCAATAATAACTAAAGTTTGCATAAATTTTATTTGTAAACTAAAGTCTGTATTAATATTAAAAAGTATTTACAGGATCAATTCTCATTAATAAATAGTTTTGCAAATTCTAAAATTTATGTATATAATTTTTGTCTTTGAAAAACATATCATAAAAAAGATACAACAGTTAATAAAATTTAAACATTTAAAATATTATCCCAATTTAAAATCTTGTTTAACCAAAATAGTTTTTCTAAATCTTCCAACAAAGTAAACGCATCTTGTTTTGAGTTGTGTCTAACCCACCCGATAGAGCAAAATCAATTAATTTCGTGATGCGAAGTATCGATCCCTCACACATAATACTGACCGGTCTCGTTATCCAAAATAGAATGGTTTGAAGCATTCTGTATTTTACAGTAACCAGAATTTTATATAAAGGAGAAATTTATTTAAACAATACTTTGCGCTAGAGAAATGCTTTGACTTCATTTAAGTGGACATTCTGTTATTTACAAATTAATTTCTCGCTACACGTTTAATTACAATAAATACATGGCTTTAAAAGTGTATCTATAATGGGAAAAATAGCATCTTTTTTATGATAATTCACCAATTGGTGCATTTTCCAACCACAGATTGTGCATGAACTGATAAAGTTGATCGGATACCGAAACCTGCAATAAAGAGAAAATTAAGATATGGATTTCTGTTTAGGGTAAATTTTGGAATATATTTTTTTCCTCACCTTGTAGGGTGTGGGATTGAGATTTCGTTTTATATCTGAACGTAGTGTTTGCAGAGATGATTTAACTCTCTGTCGTATATCTATCAATGTGGGTAACTCACAACAAACCTTTTAATTAGAAGATAAGAAGCACATGATAAACACTATTATTCTATTCATAGATATAATCAATTGCTGTAATTTGTTTACCTTTCCATTTTCCCAGTATTTCTGATACAATGATTCTACTTTTGTAGGTATTACGTATGCTCGTTTTGATTCCTAATCAGAAAAACTAAAATTAATACGAAAGAGAAGTTAATCTGCTTTACCAATTAAATTTTCATCTTGAATTGTCTTGAAGAATTATTTGGAGATGACTTACTTGAAATGGGTGACGACAGAGAACTCTCTCCCCCATCTGTGGGGCAGCTTCTTCGGTCTGTTGTAGTAAATCGATCAGGGCATAACCTGAAAATAAGGATATGTTTAATTTTGCCTCTTCACATATTTAACTACTTGTTATGATTAACAAAATTCTAATAAACTATTGTGAAAACAAAGTATCAATATTTCAGAACAAAATTATTCTTCAAAATTAGATATCTGAGATTTCTCATTTGAAAAAATTGTTGTAATTTATATAAACTAGATTTTCATTGTAGTAATATTTAAATATATATTAATAAATATAATATTTAATAAAATGTAAGTCAAAATTTTAAAATATGAATATCTGAAAATATTGTGCAAACTACATTTTCACTTTCCAGCACAAATTTAATAATTGGACAAATGTTTTTGAGCTGTTTTACACATCAACTTCAAGTCTACCCATACATTAACTTATTTTTTGTTCTATTTCTGGAACATTTAAATATTGAATATTCATTTAAGACAATTTTTAAATTTTGGAATTTTACAAAAAATTTTAAATATTTAAATACTTAATAATTAGTCAATATATATGTAAAATCTGCTAGAAATCAATCTATTTGTACACCAGGTCATGAGCAAATTTGTCGTCCTTAATTGGGATTTTATATATACCTATCCTTTATATATCCTTAATTGGGACTTTAAATGGGAATGAATACATCATGGTGTTAAGACTATTTCACTTTACCCATCGATATAAATAAAGCTCTGCTTCTGTGCACTGAGATTTTTTTATTTTAGAAAGTGGGTCCCTCCACATTACACCATAAACATACAATAGACTCCCATACAAGGTTCCACATTGTAGGAAATTGCATTGTAGGAAAATGTGTATAGGGGACATACATTATTGGACCAATTTATGCAAATTCAAACATGTCTCTAAATTTTAACTGTTATTGCAAAGGGTCAAAGATTTCCCAAACATTTTCCCAAAATTATAGAGGAAAGCAATTATACAGCAGAACAAGTCTATATCATTGATGAATTTGCTTTGCATTGGAAAAAAATGCCTGACAGAACATATATTGCAAAATATGAGACTTCTGCTTCTGGTTTCAAGGCATCAAAAGACAGGATAACTTACTTTTGTGTTCTAATGCAGCTGGAGAACACATAACTATGCCAATGTTAATTAATCATACATTAAATCAATGTGTAATGAAAAACATAGACAAATCAACACTTCCTGTTCACTGGAGAGCTAATAAAAAAGCATAAATTACATGCAAAATGGTTAAAAATTGGTTTTATAACTGTTTTGTACCAGAGGTCAAAGATTATTTACAACAAAAAATTCTGCTTTAAACTGTTGGCTTCACTGTTCATATATAAATAACTGGTAAGTGAATATTTTCGCTTTTCTAAACAAAAAATCTGAAACTATATGAAAACGTTAAATTTATCTTATGCATTATATGGGACTGTTTATCGTGCTGTATGAGTTCTAGTCGCAATATTTTTGTCACATTATACAAATTTGCATTATATGGGAGTTTATATTTTAATTTATCTCATTCTTCAGTCTTTAAATACAATGATATCACATTCCTATAGCAACACAGGGTACCCATGGACCCCTGTTGAGGACCTATGTGAACTTGTCATTTGAACTCTCGAGAAAAAAATCCAGCAATAAGTTGTTTACTTTCCTGGCAATATTTGATAGCACCATCTATTATGATAATTAAAATTTTTTTTGTATTTTTAACTATTATAAAATGGCAAAAAGCTTAACTTTGAGGGTAGGATGGGTTTTATAAAAAATTGTAAATGCTAATAACAAGTAAAATTGTCATTAAGTTTGACCCTACTGGACCCCCAATATCTCCCCACCCCTTGACATTTAACCACCAAATTTAATAGCATCAATCCCCTAATAAACAAATCTCCCTGCAAAATTTCGGAAATTTTTGACAAAAAGCACAGGAGTTATTAAGCTTCAAAGAGGGTGAACAAAATCATGCCCCCCTCACACAAACATCCATATACACAGAAAAACCCACCAAGTTTTTTTTTGCATTTCTCAATGTTTCAAAGTATCTTGAGTCCAAAAATAATAAAATCTGGAGGGGTCATTTTTTTACTGATCGCTGTACTTTCCCTCTTATATATAACAGATCAGAAAGTAAAAGTATTACCAGAATTTGTGTCAATCATAACATTATTTGCAAGGTAACATTATGTGGATGATATAATCTGGAGATCAATAAATTTGTTTTTATAGATGATTAACACTAATCCATATGGTAAGACCATGTGGATTAGTATCACTATATTGGTCTAACTCAAGTCCTACACGTGAGTTAGACCAATACAGTGATACATCAGCACACTTCTTGGATAAAAACATCAAGTTAAAACAAGAAAGCATAATACCAATGTTTATTACAAACCAGGTTATATGCCATTCTTCGTACCAGTAAACTCAAATGACCCATTCTCATACAAAGTAGCTGCATTCTGTGCATTAGTAAAACAAGCATTCAAACATTTTAGCAACAGAATTGACACAGTAAAAGAATTAAAACACACACCAAGCGTAGCCACAACTCATGGGTATCCAGCATCACTCATACAATGTTTAACACAAAGTTACATAGATAATGGAGAGCAACCAACTTAACACTAATGTACAACAAAACACTCCAGCTGAATCTAGAAGGGTGGTAGTGGATTTTGACATGAAATTTAAATCACTATATGAAGAAATAACAAGGAAAGCAGGGGAAAACTCTCATATCATTGTAATAACACAATTTACTAACTGCTACACAACAACAAAAACAACATAATGCTTTCTAAGGCAACAGGTGTATATGAAGTCCCAATTAAGGATGACAGATTTAATCATGAACTGGAGTACATCGGGGATACAAATAGATCAATTTCTAGCATATTTTACATATATTGACTAGTCGTACATATTCTAAAATTGGAACAATATATATTGACTAGTTATTAAGTATAAAATAGAATAATATTTAAAATTTTTTTATAAAATTCCAAAATTTAAAAAATGTCTTAAATGAATTTTCAATATTTGAATGTTCCAGAAATAGAACAAAAAATAAATTAATATATGGGTAGACCTGAAGTTGATGTGTAAAGCAACGCTAAAACATTTGTACAATTATTAAATTTGTGTTGGAAAGTGAAAAGATTGTTTGCATGATATTATTTGATTTTTTTTTCTAGTTTGAAGTTCTTTCTCATTAGAAAATAAAACAAAGTTCGAGTCACACATGCAATATTTTTGGTTTTGGAGTAAACCTTTGTTAATTTGATAATTTGTCAGCTTAAACAATTTTTAGTTCCAAGAATGCTACACAAATCAAAAATATTCTACTGTAAATGTTATGAAATCTTCATAATAATAAATAAACTTTTATTTATTAAGAATTATTTTATACAGGGAAGTCAGTGAATGTAATAATCAAATAGAACTGAAAATATTGGAAGCTTGTTAATATATGTAAATTAAAGAAAGAAAAGTAATTACCATCTTGTCCATATAATCTGTAAGCATTTTTGCAACCGGGAATTGTCACTTTTGAAACATCCAGACTCAGTTTAATACAAGGCTGTTTGTTGACTTCTACCAACTAAAAGTTAGTAAATGATAAATTACAAATTTTTAAGTTTTTAAAATAAATAAAATTTGATCTGCATTTTGGTTTTCAATGTACAAAACTGGAGATTTTTTGTTTATTTAAAATTCAATTTATTGAAAATTTTAATGATCTTACTTTAAACACGCATCCTAAGGCAGGCTGTTTTTGGCAGGTTACCAAATGAGTGCCAATTCCAAAACAATTGATTTTGTGATCCTAAATGAAAATTTGATTATAAAAAAATTATATAAGCATCCATTTTAAATTCTGACTAGAAATGAATGTAACTACAATATTACCTGTTCGTTTAATGAAAGAATAGTGTCTTCATTGATATCATTACTTGCAACGATGATCAAATTATGAAACCAAGGTAATTTATATCTATTAAAACATCAATATTTTAAAATAATATTTTTGGTTATTAATATAATTATACTGAATATTAAAAATACCAAAAATACGAATATATCTGACTAAACTTTTTAAATAAAAATGCTTAGTAGCATAGATCATGATTAACATGTATTCTTTTTCTAGATAATTGATTTCCTTTAGAGAAAGGCTCCCTCATTTGATTTTTGCATAGAATTATTTTAATTGAAGCTTGAATATTTCTTAAAAATATTCATAATATTATGAATATTCCAAAATTTTATACAGGATGATCTATATGTTTTGTCTTAGTAAAAATAAATGAATTGTTTATGTGACTAAGAATAATGTTTTGTTTCACTATTCACATATTAAAGATATTTCATTTTAATCTTGCAGAATGCAATGTACATATATTAATTCAAAAATACAGGGTGGTAAAGAAAGTCACTTAACACCCCTGCTACAGAATATAGAATGTACCCAAAATTAATTTGCTCATATCAGAACACATTAGACCAAGGGAGAAACAGATTGATGTGTGTTACATGCATAGCTGTCATCAAGATGGCAGCCATATTAAATGCAACTCTGAAATTTTAATGGGAAAGGGGTCTGTAACACATCATTTAGGATTGGGTCTGTAACACATCATTTAGGGTCAGAATTTCACAAGGAATTGATTTCCAAAATATTTATTGACCTACTTTGAACAGTTAGAGTTATTAATGTGTTTCCTTTATTGTTACAGGTTGATGAACAGAAAACACAATGCTTATAATATAGGAAGAACACATTAAAATTGTCATTATGGCAGGAGGAAAAGTTCCAGTGTGATTGCACAGGATTTTAATCAATGTCATACATGCCAAGTGCCTGTGTCACATGCAGCAATTTCCAATCTCCTCCAGAAATTCAGGGAAATGGGACTGATCCATGATAAGAAACATTCAGGCCTGTACAATCATTCTGGAACATCTCTTCCCTGCCATCAGGTCAATTTTGATGAATTCTTCCTGTGTTAGTGACATTGTGTTTTGTCTGTTCTTCAACCTATAACAACAAAGGAAATATTAATAACTCTAACCATTTGAGGTAGGTCAATAAATCTTTCAGCAATCAATTCCTTGTGAAATTCTGATACTAAATGATGTGTCACATGATCCCCTTACCATTTAAAATTTCAGAATTGCATTCAATATGGCTACCATCAAGATGGCTGTTGTGCATATAACACACATCACTGTTTCTCTCTGGTCTAATGTGTTCCTGATAAGTGGAAATTAATTTTGGGTACATTCTATGCTCTGTAGCAGAGGTGTTAAGTGACTTTCTTCACCACCCTGTAATATATAAATTAGCAAACAGACTAGATTGTTTGGGTTAAAAAGGAAGCAAAATTCCAATTTGGTTTCCCATTGATCAATGTCAACACACAAGAATTGTCTAAATACTTTTACAAAATCATCAATTGTATACAGTATTCAAAAAATAAATATATCATCTTAAAAAACAACTGTCTGAATAAGCATAGTCACATTACAATAACCATTTCACACACAAAACTCTTCAATCACTTCCAATCTTTCTTTGAAAGCTTCTAGAATGAGAACAGCAAACATTTCTGAGTCCGCATGTCACATAGTAAGCATACTAATCTTTAAAATTTTTTGTGTGCACTAAAGTTTTAAGCTTTAATAATGATATTTAAATAAATGAAATATATATGCTTTAATTAGAGTATATGTAAAGAAAGCTGATTGAGAAAAAGGATGATCAGGTGATAAACTGAAAAGATGATTGAAAGATAGGTGATAAACCAAAATTACATGCCAGATGATGTTGCTTGATTTGCCACAATTTGCAACCTCTAAAGGATGATGTAACTGCCTCACTGGATATATACATTGCATATATTAAGAAGAAATACTCTTCAATTAGAAAGTATGTATGGTCTTTTGTTGCTGTTAAAATAATGCTACTCAAATGGGATAATTTGCACCCAGAGAAAAATTTGTCAATGGGAGATATATTAAAAACAGTAGCAGAAATTTACATTTTTGACCTTAATTTTGTTGAAAGAAACTTCTTAAATACAATTAAAATCCCAGGCTAAATGATCCTGCAGCGGTTGAAACAATGTTGCCATACATGTGTGAAGAGGGAAGGTGACGTAAGAAAGAGAGGGGGAAGGAGGAGAGGATGGTAAGTTTACAATTTGTAGAAAGATTTCCATGTCAAGGGAGAGGAATCTGCATCATGAAAGTTAATGGTGGTATGTTTGCCAGCAGCCTTATAAATTTCAACTTGCTCTAAATGTCTAAGACATACAGGCAGATTTGTACAGTTTTACACACAAAAATATCAGAAATTGTATCCAGAGGATAGGAAAAAACTGGAAAAATTTCACCATCTGATAAGGCTGCATATTAGATAAACTGGCACTATGTCAGTCCCATGAAGCCGGATTAACAGAAGTTCACTGTATTATAGAAGATAAAATTATATGAATTATGTACTTTAATTTAAAAATCCAACTGCAAATTATTTTGAAACTTCTTTTGTATCAATAAATAGTTTTGCAGATTCAAATGTTTTTAATTTTTGAAAAAAATTTAACAATTAAATTTTTACAGTAATTTAATGATATTGATAATTTAAAAAAAAANAATAGTGACGATTATTATTTTAAAAAATTTTTGTTAGGCTTAACATCGATGAAAATTCAACGCAAAGTAGGTTAATAGCGATATACTAATATATTAATATACTAATTACATGGGATATAATAATATACTACACTAATGGATTTTTTCATACTTTTCGGTTATCTGACTTTTCAATTATCCGACCAACCCCAGTCCCCAATTGAGTCGGATAATTGATGCTCTACTGTATATTACAAAAACTCTGTTGCTGTGGTACAAATGGCGTAGCTCACCATAAGATGAGAAATGGAAGGATAAGGAATAATTTTGTTTAGTTTATTAACTTCTTGCAGACTGTATAGTCTATTCACCCTTAAAATAAAATAAATTACAAATTAAACTAGTGACATGCTGATACTAACTTTAGAATGTATAATAACTACACTTAAGTGTTGTGGTGTTATCAATATCAACTTTTAGCATATGAGGATGTTTGCTAGTACTTTCAGTAGCATAAAGTTACCGTCATCAGATGAATATCGAATACAACAGGTATCAAATTTTAAGTTTTAGAATAATATTTGAAATTAAATATAGCATGTGGATGGAATATAAAATGAATTTGAATTAAAACGATGTTCTAAAAATATAAACATATGCTAAAAGTTGATATTGGTAATGCCACAACACTTAAGTGTAGTTATTATCTATTCACCCTTATAAGATCTATGAGTAAGAAATGAGTCACAGTAGTAAATGAGAAATTGTGAAGTACAAAAACATTAATGAGCCAATAGAGATTGATCTTAAGTTAGGATTTCTTTTAATATGTCATATCATTGACAGTAATAAGTTAATATTCCTTAACAGAGATTCCTAACAAATTTTTGTTAAATATACATGCAAAATGTGTGTGTCAAAAATACTGTATCATTGATAAATTTTACAGTATTTATCAATGATAATTAGTAATGTTGAAATTGAATTTATTTACTATAACATTTTTCTCACAGTTGATGAAATTTATATTATGTATAATATATATTCTAATTTATAGTGTAAATCAGACACCCAACACAATGCCACAAATGAACAGTATTCATTAACCATAATAATCACATCTATAATCCAAGTTTCAACATACTAATCAAATATTTTGATAAGATTTCAAATCCAAAAAGCTCTAAAAATTTTGTATAGTATCCTTGGCAATAAATCAAAGCACCTTTTTAATACTTTTTATTTGGAAAAACTTGTCCATAGAAATATGAGTAATATTGGTATAAGCTTTTTCATTAGGATATACTCATAATATTTCTATGGACAAAAATTTACCCTAGTGCAAAAATTTAATTAATTTCTTTGTATAAATGTTAAATTCAGTTTTTTTCAATAAATATTTACATTATATAACCATAATCTTCTTTTAGAGAAGAAATAAATCGTGCTTATAGAAGAATTGCAATTTTGATTCATCCCGACAAAACAACTATACCTGCCAGCGAAGAAGCCTTCAAGACGCTGGTAACGACCCGTTCCTTGCTGTTACGGCAAGCAAAGTGACCACAATTCTAATTTAACAAAACAATTCTGCTTTTAGATTATATAGTAAAATACATTTTTGTAAGGATATTTATGATATGCAAATCAATAATAACTAAAGTTTGCATAAATTTTATTTGTAAACTAAAGTCTGTATTAATATTAAAAAGTATTTACAGGATCAATTCTCATTAATAAATAGTTTTGCAAATTCTAAAATTTATGTATATAATTTTTGTCTTTGAAAAACATATCATAAAAAAGATACAACAGTTAATAAAATTTAAACATTTAAAATATTATCCCAATTTAAAATCTTGTTTAACCAAAATAGTTTTTCTAAATCTTCCAACAAAGTAAACGCATCTTGTTTTGAGTTGTGTCTAACCCACCCGATAGAGCAAAATCAATTAATTTCGTGATGCGAAGTATCGATCCCTCACACATAATACTGACCGGTCTCGTTATCCAAAATAGAATGGTTTGAAGCATTCTGTATTTTACAGTAACCAGAATTTTATATAAAGGAGAAATTTATTTAAACAATACTTTGCGCTAGAGAAATGCTTTGACTTCATTTAAGTGGACATTCTGTTATTTACAAATTAATTTCTCGCTACACGTTTAATTACAATAAATACATGGCTTTAAAAGTGTATCTATAATGGGAAAAATAGCATCTTTTTTATGATAATTCACCAATTGGTGCATTTTCCAACCACAGATTGTGCATGAACTGATAAAGTTGATCGGATACCGAAACCTGCAATAAAGAGAAAATTAAGATATGGATTTCTGTTTAGGGTAAATTTTGGAATATATTTTTTCCTCACCTTGTAGGGTGTGGGATTGAGATTTCGTTTTATATCTGAACGTAGTGTTTGCAGAGATGATTTAACTCTCTGTCGTATATCTATCAATGTGGGTAACTCACAACAAACCTTTTAATTAGAAGATAAGAAGCACATGATAAACACTATTATTCTATTCATAGATATAATCAATTGCTGTAATTTGTTTACCTTTCCATTTTCCCAGTATTTCTGATACAACGATTCTACTTTTGTAGGTATTACGTATGCTCGTTTTGATTCCTAATCAGAAAAACTAAAATTAATACGAAAGAGAAGTTAATCTGCTTTACCAATTAAATTTTCATCTTGAATTGTCTTGAAGAATTATTTGGAGATGACTTACTTGAAATGGGTGACGACAGAGAACTCTCTCCCCCATCTGTGGGGCAGCTTCTTCGGTCTGTTGTAGTAAATCGATCAGGGCATAACCTGAAAATAAGGATATGTTTAATTTTGCCTCTTCACATATTTAACTACTTGTTATGATTAACAAAATTCTAATAAACTATTGTGAAAACAAAGTATCAATATTTCAGAACAAAATTATTCTTCAAAATTAGATATCTGAGATTTCTCATTTGAAAAAATTGTTGTAATTTATATAAACTAGATTTTCATTGTAGTAATATTTAAATATATATTAATAAATATAATATTTAATAAAATGTAAGTCAAAATTTTAAAATATGAATATCTGAAAATATTGTGCAAACTACATTTTCACTTTCCAGCACAAATTTAATAATTGGACAAATGTTTTTGAGCTGTTTTACACATCAACTTCAAGTCTACCCATACATTAACTTATTTTTTGTTCTATTTCTGGAACATTTAAATATTGAATATTCATTTAAGACAATTTTTAAATTTTGGAATTTTACAAAAAATTTTAAATATTTAAATACTTAATAATTAGTCAATATATATGTAAAATCTGCTAGAAATCAATCTATTTGTACACCAGGTCATGAGCAAATTTGTCGTCCTTAATTGGGATTTTATATATACCTATCCTTTATATATCCTTAATTGGGACTTTAAATGGGAATGAATACATCATGGTGTTAAGACTATTTCACTTTACCCATCGATATAAATAAAGCTCTGCTTCTGTGCACTGAGATTTTTTTATTTTAGAAAGTGGGTCCCTCCACATTACACCATAAACATACAATAGACTCCCATACAAGGTTCCACATTGTAGGAAATTGCATTGTAGGAAAATGTGTATAGGGGACATACATTATTGGACCAATTTATGCAAATTCAAACATGTCTCTAAATTTTAACTGTTATTGCAAAGGGTCAAAGATTTCCCAAACATTTTCCCAAAATTATAGAGGAAAGCAATTATACAGCAGAACAAGTCTATATCATTGATGAATTTGCTTTGCATTGGAAAAAAATGCCTGACAGAACATATATTGCAAAATATGAGACTTCTGCTTCTGGTTTCAAGGCATCAAAAGACAGGATAACTTACTTTTGTGTTCTAATGCAGCTGGAGAACACATAACTATGCCAATGTTAATTAATCATACATTAAATCAATGTGTAATGAAAAACATAGACAAATCAACACTTCCTGTTCACTGGAGAGCTAATAAAAAAGCATAAATTACATGCAAAATGGTTAAAAATTGGTTTTATAACTGTTTTGTACCAGAGGTCAAAGATTATTTACAACAAAAAATTCTGCTTTAAACTGTTGGCTTCACTGTTCATATATAAATAACTGGTAAGTGAATATTTTCGCTTTTCTAAACAAAAAATCTGAAACTATATGAAAACGTTAAATTTATCTTATGCATTATATGGGACTGTTTATCGTGCTGTATGAGTTCTAGTCGCAATATTTTTGTCACATTATACAAATTTGCATTATATGGGAGTTTATATTTTAATTTATCTCATTCTTCAGTCTTTAAATACAATGATATCACATTCCTATAGCAACACAGGGTACCCATGGACCCCTGTTGAGGACCTATGTGAACTTGTCATTTGAACTCTCGAGAAAAAAATCCAGCAATAAGTTGTTTACTTTCCTGGCAATATTTGATAGCACCATCTATTATGATAATTAAAATTTTTTTTGTATTTTTAACTATTATAAAATGGCAAAAAGCTTAACTTTGAGGGTAGGATGGGTTTTATAAAAAATTGTAAATGCTAATAACAAGTAAAATTGTCATTAAGTTTGACCCTACTGGACCCCCAATATCTCCCCACCCCTTGACATTTAACCACCAAATTTAATAGCATCAATCCCCTAATAAACAAATCTCCCTGCAAAATTTCGGAAATTTTTGACAAAAAGCACAGGAGTTATTAAGCTTCAAAGAGGGTGAACAAAATCATGCCCCCCTCACACAAACATCCATATACACAGAAAAACCCACCAAGTTTTTTTTTGCATTTCTCAATGTTTCAAAGTATCTTGAGTCCAAAAATAATAAAATCTGGAGGGGTCATTTTTTTACTGATCGCTGTACTTTCCCTCTTATATATAACAGATCAGAAAGTAAAAGTATTACCAGAATTTGTGTCAATCATAACATTATTTGCAAGGTAACATTATGTGGATGATATAATCTGGAGATCAATAAATTTGTTTTTATAGATGATTAACACTAATCCATATGGTAAGACCATGTGGATTAGTATCACTATATTGGTCTAACTCAAGTCCTACATGTGAGTTAGACCAATACAGTGATACATCAGCACACTTCTTGGATAAAAACATCAAGTTAAAACAAGAAAGCATAATACCAATGTTTATTACAAACCAGGTTATATGCCATTCTTCGTACCAGTAAACTCAAATGACCCATTCTCATACAAAGTAGCTGCATTCTGTGCATTAGTAAAACAAGCATTCAAACATTTTAGCAACAGAATTGACACAGTAAAAGAATTAAAACACACACCAAGCGTAGCCACAACTCATGGGTATCCAGCATCACTCATACAATGTTTAACACAAAGTTACATAGATAATGGAGAGCAACCAACTTAACACTAATGTACAACAAAACACTCCAGCTGAATCTAGAAGGGTGGTAGTGGATTTTGACATGAAATTTAAATCACTATATGAAGAAATAACAAGGAAAGCAGGGGAAAACTCTCATATCATTGTAATAACACAATTTACTAACTGCTACACAACAACAAAAACAACATAATGCTTTCTAAGGCAACAGGTGTATATGAAGTCCCAATTAAGGATGACAGATTTAATCATGAACTGGAGTACATCGGGGATACAAATAGATCAATTTCTAGCATATTTTACATATATTGACTAGTCGTACATATTCTAAAATTGGAACAATATATATTGACTAGTTATTAAGTATAAAATAGAATAATATTTAAAATTTTTTTATAAAATTCCAAAATTTAAAAAATGTCTTAAATGAATTTTCAATATTTGAATGTTCCAGAAATAGAACAAAAAATAAATTAATATATGGGTAGACCTGAAGTTGATGTGTAAAGCAACGCTAAAACATTTGTACAATTATTAAATTTGTGTTGGAAAGTGAAAAGATTGTTTGCATGATATTATTTGATTTTTTTTTCTAGTTTGAAGTTCTTTCTCATTAGAAAATAAAACAAAGTTCGAGTCACACATGCAATATTTTTGGTTTTGGAGTAAACCTTTGTTAATTTGATAATTTGTCAGCTTAAACAATTTTTAGTTCCAAGAATGCTACACAAATCAAAAATATTCTACTGTAAATGTTATGAAATCTTCATAATAATAAATAAACTTTTATTTATTAAGAATTATTTTATACAGGGAAGTCAGTGAATGTAATAATCAAATAGAACTGAAAATATTGGAAGCTTGTTAATATATGTAAATTAAAGAAAGAAAAGTAATTACCATCTTGTCCATATAATCTGTAAGCATTTTTGCAACCGGGAATTGTCACTTTTGAAACATCCAGACTCAGTTTAATACAAGGCTGTTTGTTGACTTCTACCAACTAAAAGTTAGTAAATGATAAATTACAAATTTTTAAGTTTTTAAAATAAATAAAATTTGATCTGCATTTTGGTTTTCAATGTACAAAACTGGAGATTTTTTGTTTATTTAAAATTCAATTTATTGAAAATTTTAATGATCTTACTTTAAACACGCATCCTAAGGCAGGCTGTTTTTGGCAGGTTACCAAATGAGTGCCAATTCCAAAACAATTGATTTTGTGATCCTAAATGAAAATTTGATTATAAAAAAATTATATAAGCATCCATTTTAAATTCTGACTAGAAATGAATGTAACTACAATATTACCTGTTCGTTTAATGAAAGAATAGTGTCTTCATTGATATCATTACTTGCAACGATGATCAAATTATGAAACCAAGGTAATTTATATCTATTAAAACATCAATATTTTAAAATAATATTTTTGGTTATTAATATAATTATACTGAATATTAAAAATACCAAAAATACGAATATATCTGACTAAACTTTTTAAATAAAAATGCTTAGTAGCATAGATCATGATTAACATGTATTCTTTTTCTAGATAATTGATTTCCTTTAGAGAAAGGCTCCCTCATTTGATTTTTGCATAGAATTATTTTAATTGAAGCTTGAATATTTCTTAAAAATATTCATAATATTATGAATATTCCAAAATTTTATACAGGATGATCTATATGTTTTGTCTTAGTAAAAATAAATGAATTGTTTATGTGACTAAGAATAATGTTTTGTTTCACTATTCACATATTAAAGATATTTCATTTTAATCTTGCAGAATGCAATGTACATATATTAATTCAAAAATACAGGGTGGTAAAGAAAGTCACTTAACACCCCTGCTACAGAATATAGAATGTACCCAAAATTAATTTGCTCATATCAGAACACATTAGACCAAGGGAGAAACAGATTGATGTGTGTTACATGCATAGCTGTCATCAAGATGGCAGCCATATTAAATGCAACTCTGAAATTTTAATGGGAAAGGGGTCTGTAACACATCATTTAGGATTGGGTCTGTAACACATCATTTAGGGTCAGAATTTCACAAGGAATTGATTTCCAAAATATTTATTGACCTACTTTGAACAGTTAGAGTTATTAATGTGTTTCCTTTATTGTTACAGGTTGATGAACAGAAAACACAATGCTTATAATATAGGAAGAACACATTAAAATTGTCATTATGGCAGGAGGAAAAGTTCCAGTGTGATTGCACAGGATTTTAATCAATGTCATACATGCCAAGTGCCTGTGTCACATGCAGCAATTTCCAATCTCCTCCAGAAATTCAGGGAAATGGGACTGATCCATGATAAGAAACATTCAGGCCTGTACAATCATTCTGGAACATCTCTTCCCTGCCATCAGGTCAATTTTGATGAATTCTTCCTGTGTTAGTGACATTGTGTTTTGTCTGTTCTTCAACCTATAACAACAAAGGAAATATTAATAACTCTAACCATTTGAGGTAGGTCAATAAATCTTTCAGCAATCAATTCCTTGTGAAATTCTGATACTAAATGATGTGTCACATGATCCCCTTACCATTTAAAATTTCAGAATTGCATTCAATATGGCTACCATCAAGATGGCTGTTGTGCATATAACACACATCACTGTTTCTCTCTGGTCTAATGTGTTCCTGATAAGTGGAAATTAATTTTGGGTACATTCTATGCTCTGTAGCAGAGGTGTTAAGTGACTTTCTTCACCACCCTGTAATATATAAATTAGCAAACAGACTAGATTGTTTGGGTTAAAAAGGAAGCAAAATTCCAATTTGGTTTCCCATTGATCAATGTCAACACACAAGAATTGTCTAAATACTTTTACAAAATCATCAATTGTATACAGTATTCAAAAAATAAATATATCATCTTAAAAAACAACTGTCTGAATAAGCATAGTCACATTACAATAACCATTTCACACACAAAACTCTTCAATCACTTCCAATCTTTCTTTGAAAGCTTCTAGAATGAGAACAGCAAACATTTCTGAGTCCGCATGTCACATAGTAAGCATACTAATCTTTAAAATTTTTTGTGTGCACTAAAGTTTTAAGCTTTAATAATGATATTTAAATAAATGAAATATATATGCTTTAATTAGAGTATATGTAAAGAAAGCTGATTGAGAAAAAGGATGATCAGGTGATAAACTGAAAAGATGATTGAAAGATAGGTGATAAACCAAAATTACATGCCAGATGATGTTGCTTGATTTGCCACAATTTGCAACCTCTAAAGGATGATGTAACTGCCTCACTGGATATATACATTGCATATATTAAGAAGAAATACTCTTCAATTAGAAAGTATGTATGGTCTTTTGTTGCTGTTAAAATAATGCTACTCAAATGGGATAATTTGCACCCAGAGAAAAATTTGTCAATGGGAGATATATTAAAAACAGTAGCAGAAATTTACATTTTTGACCTTAATTTTGTTGAAAGAAACTTCTTAAATACAATTAAAATCCCAGGCTAAATGATCCTGCAGCGGTTGAAACAATGTTGCCATACATGTGTGAAGAGGGAAGGTGACGTAAGAAAGAGAGGGGGAAGGAGGAGAGGATGGTAAGTTTACAATTTGTAGAAAGATTTCCATGTCAAGGGAGAGGAATCTGCATCATGAAAGTTAATGGTGGTATGTTTGCCAGCAGCCTTATAAATTTCAACTTGCTCTAAATGTCTAAGACATACAGGCAGATTTGTACAGTTTTACACACAAAAATATCAGAAATTGTATCCAGAGGATAGGAAAAAACTGGAAAAATTTCACCATCTGATAAGGCTGCATATTAGATAAACTGGCACTATGTCAGTCCCATGAAGCCGGATTAACAGAAGTTCACTGTATTATAGAAGATAAAATTATATGAATTATGTACTTTAATTTAAAAATCCAACTGCAAATTATTTTGAAACTTCTTTTGTATCAATAAATAGTTTTGCAGATTCAAATGTTTTTAATTTTTGAAAAAAATTTAACAATTAAATTTTTACAGTAATTTAATGATATTGATAATTTAAAAAAAAA